AAAAGCCATTTATACCAGTGAGACTTGGAAGAGACTTGATGTCTTCCAACGAAGATACCTTCACCAAATCCTAAAGTTCACCATTTTGTCCAAATTTCTAAGGAATAAGTTCTCCAACAGTTTCTCCTGCAGATTACATAACATTGTCACATGCAGAAGACTCCAATTCACACATCATAATCTCTGCATGGAGAACAATCGAATCCCCAAGATGGCAATGACATGGAACCCCCAGATGCCAAAGGACCAAAAGGATGCCCTTAAAATACATGGTGAAGAACATTCATAGAAGACTTAAAAGACTCCAAACATCACATGGGAAGAGGCTGAAGTATCCGCTCAAAACCAAAAAGGTTGGAGATCCCTTAATGTAGAGATATGCTATATGGCATGGGAAAAATCTAAAGCTTAAAAAAATTAATTCAATAATAGATGACAGACCAATATATATTGCCTTCAGCTATGTATAGGTTCAGGAACAAGGCATATATTAATCTGTCAAATATTAAGAATGTGTCATCTTCCCACTGTTGATATTCTTAATATAATCAAACGTACCATGTGAACCATACTGATTAAACACCTAAATGGAAACTCTTAAATTTCTCTTTCATTAAAATCATGAAATGTTAACTCCTACAATATACAATAAATATACATAAATATACAAACTTCAGTAAATATTACAGACAATCATTTTTGCATACACATGTATGCATGAACATCACAGATGCCTCATTTATTTTACTGGAAATCATTTATAAGAGTGCCATTCAACAGATGGGCTATGTGGCAAATTCTGCTACAAGTAAGCAGTTTTTAATACTTTCAATCACTCAGTGATGACAGTTTAACAATAATGCATTATCTTTTCAAAACACAAAGAATAAACTCTTTGTAGAGGCACCTATTCCTTATTGAGTGATAAATTCTTCTTAATATATTATGATTGTAACATTTCAAAAGCTTGCAAATAAATAAACTTTGCCAAGGTTAAAACAAAACAAAAAAGCAGTATAAAGATTCTGTAAAATCTTTTTACTACTAAAACTCATGTTTTTAACCTTACATTGGGTGAAACAATGCATCACAGGCCAACAGTTTTGATGATACTGCTTCTTGCTCTAACAGCTCTCTGAAATGCTTTGTTATATTCATTCCTGAGATCTTTGTCATTTTGTCTTTTCTTTTCTTCTTTATAATTTCCACAGTTTCCACTCAATCAAGGAACTACCAATAAAGACAAACAAGCTAATCATTAAAAAAAGCCATCAAGGAACCACCAAGGACATTCCCACTCACACTGACAGGGCAAGTCACTGGTATATAAAAATAAGAGCAAAACTTACCCCCTTCTAGCACTGATCATGTTACCTGGTTTGGTAATGAAATGTCTGCAAGAAAACCACCAAACTCCAAGAATACCAGGCATCTCTCAGAAAGTGATTCCTGATATTCTCATTGAAAACAGTGCATATATCCTCAAGATCATATTGCAAAAAATGGTTTGCTTTCTATTTTTGCTTTAGCTTAACTTGAAACCTTAACATGATCAGTCCCTGATCTGTTCCACAGCCAGTCTGTACGGAACCATAGAGAGAGGTCAGAGAAAACCTCAGAGAAGACATCTTGAAGCCAGTAGGGAAAAAAAACACAGATGCGGAAAATATATTAAATATAAACTGAAAAAATATGAGAAATGGACTTGCTTCCCCTGATTCCATGGGATATAAGAGGTGGGGAAGAGAACCAGGGATAAGTTTGCAAGATTCTACTACTATAGCCTCTCAATAAAATATAGTTCTGATCTTCTTGTGAAGCTAGTTTCCTGTTTTGGTCTATTTTGCAGGGCTGACATAGCCTTTGGCCATGTCTTTATTGTTATGACTGAAATCTTTCACTAATTCTACTGATAATTTAGTTAATTTGCTATCTGTGTACTCTTATCGGATTGTGTATATGTATGGATATATTGTTTTGGTCAATGAATGATTGTTTAGAAATGAAGCAATCATTGGATTAGCAAAAAATAAGGGATTATTCTGCTTCATTTTGGTTCCCTAGACCATCCACTCCAACTATGTTTTCTTCTTTAATGTTTCCAACTTCAGCATTCTAATCTCCAAAAATAAGTAGCTCGTCTTCTTTACACGTAGACTTTATTTGAACTTCATCATAAAACTCATTAACCTTGTCTTTTCCTGCATCATTTTCAGTATATTTCAACTCATGAATAACTAAAATGTTGATTCCTTTACTCATTCATTGTATTGAGTTTGCCCACACTCACACTTTCTATGTTCCATGTATCCATTATAATTCTGTCTTTGCATCTTTGTATTTTATTTTCATGCAAGATAAAAACCAGCAAATAGATGTCCCTAAGGGTTTAATCTATTAATGTCATTAGTATTCCAAAAATTCCTCTGCTATTCCTGAGTAGCATGTTGAGTGTCAGCCGATATGAAGGACTCATAATTGTGCACCATATTATCAAGCTTTTTGTGTTGTCTATTCATGTGGTGTTCTTAATAAAATTCAGGTGCCTTTTCCTGGACAAAATGAAATGATGCCTTTGCCAATGTCAATAAAATGGTCATACACTTCCAGTTTTTTCTTATATTGCTACAGATGTAACAAAGAATAGAAGTCACTTCTTTATATCTTATTTCTTTCTTTCCTATTTTCCTATTTTTATTCTACTTTTTGTTTTTCTTTCTATGCTATTTTAGTTTGTATTAACTTTTACTCTTCTTTTTAAAATGCTCAATAACATTATATATTTTTGAAAAGCTATTTGTAAGCATTGACTCTTGTATATGCACAACAAGCCTACCCCCCTTTAAAAAAACACTAGTTTTCTTCACTTTGGGTTTGTGTATGATACAATATTTACTTTGTCACTATTATTATTACTTCCACAAAATATCAAGCACATCATGGGCCTAAAAGATTGAGTAATCTAGTTAAATCCAATCCGTAATTGGATTGAAGAAATAATAGAATTACATTATCCTTGGACTATTCAAAGAAAGGGGGGGATGAATAACACAGTATGTTCAAATATCTTCTAAAATTCTGCTTTCTAGTAAAGGCCTTTTTCAAGGATTTTTCATGGACACAGCTTGACAGTAATTTCCTGCTCAACCAGAAGAAAACAAGGTTTTAAAAAACCAATACATGATGTAAACATTTTTCAAAATATATATCCCTGGCATGTTTACAGACTTCATACATGTAATTATGGACACCAACCTTTATAAAAATTGCTTAGGGGAAAAGACATAGGTTTTACAAATAATCCGAAAATGAAGGTTTATAAACCAGCTCATTTCAAAAGAGCAAACCAAATGCCTATTATATTTTATGGACTGGTATTTTATTGTCATTAAATAAGGTAACAGTGCAGTTGATAAATATTTCAATTGTAGTTTCCTTGCTGGGTGTCGGCTTCAATGAGAATGAAGTCTGGAAGGCACAAATTATGACTGGTTGCTCTCTGAATTATTATTTATATTTGAAAGATTAAGTTCTGTGAAATATATTGATTCTTGGCCATTACCTTAAGGCTCTATTTCAAGCTCTATTTCACTGAGGGCCACATCAGGGTTGTGTTTGACCTCAGGGGGGCAGGGGGGCTGGGGTGAGCATGGCCAGCTCGACATAATTAGTGTCGGGGGTGCCTGAGGTGGCGCTGTGCTAGTGAAAACGGGTTCCTGCAGCGTTTTTGACTGTGACGGCCTCTGAAACCCTCTGCCAGCGAAAACAGAGCTCGGGAGGGCTGCACAAAGTTCTCCTGAGCTCCATTTTTGCTGGCAGAGGCACCACCAGTAGTATAAATTCCACTACTTCACATATGCATTGTGATGTCCTATGCAGATATAATGTAAAAGTAATAGATCATAATACTATTTCATTGTTTTGATAAAAGCAGGAGACTCTGCAGATGCCTCTTATTTGGAAAAAGGTTTATAAACCCCAGTCAGCCACTCCCTGAATGAAGTTAATTTAACTCTCTATGGGATTAGCCTCTTTAGATTAAAGCTAGTATTCTCAAAGTACCCAACTGAGCCCAATACCTCCTTGAAGTTTCTCTAAGATGCTTACCATCCCTTTCTTGACCCCCTTAAATATGTTGTGGAATAAAGGTTCAAAATATTTTCTTTGATAGAGTATTTCATGGAGCTTTATTTATAATGAATAATAATATTAGTAAAAGCATGTGTGCTACAGTGCTTTGCAGTGACTTTCTTTAACCCGTGTGCAAGATTCTGATAGACTTGAGACCCAGTTTTTCAGCTCTAATATAAAAAAGCAGACAAGATAATGAGCCAAATTAATGGTATAAAATGTATGTACCTTTATGTACATTAAATTTCTGAAGACTCTGTGATGCTCTGAATAGTGCTTTTGAGAAAGGAAAAATGGTTTCCACAGGAAGTAAGAACTGAACAGGATGTATAAGGAAACCACCCATAAGAAAATGTTGAAAATTGATTTATTTTTATAAATGCATACATATGTATTGGTGCTGGCTTGTACTCATTTTGTTTTTTAAATAACACTAAGATTAAGAACTAAGTCTATTATCTATCTNCATCAGGCTGGTATACCGGACAGTTGGTCTGGGCGGCAAATCTTTTATCTGCAGCATGCACAGTAGATGGTGAGAACACCTCCCTTTATTCAGTCTCTCCAGTGCTGACACTTCCCCACCCACAAACAATGCCCCCCCTCCCCATTTCAATGGCAGCCGAAAGCAAGCAGAAAAACAGACGCTGACACTTCAGTTCACCTTATTGTCTTGGGTTCGCCTCATAATTAAGGTAATCTTGTAACTCTTGAAAATTCTGAGAAATTTAGAATATATGCATTATATAAAGTTAAATATATATCTATAAACAAGTCTATGTGAATTACTCATCTTAAAATAGACCCATTTTCTTTTCTTTCTCCCTCCAAAAATCCAAATTCCAGTTCATTTTCCAGATCAAATATTTTACTCAGACAGCCTAGATGACACATCAATGCCCATTTATGGAAAGCAAATTACCAATTACAACAATAACAACAGCAAAATGAGACTTAATGCTACAACCAATGCATCTAATGATTATTATGGAGATTAAATAGAGAATTGTTCAGTTTTCATTATAGTCCAGTTCTGGAAACGTTTATAGGAATTAGAAGATATGCATCAGAATTTGTGGGCAAATTGCTGTATTTCACTACTTTGGGGTATTTCAGATTAGGTTTTGAAGTAAGCCTTTAAGAAATGATTTAATATCTGTGTTGCAGGAGGCAGTTTGGAGTAGCAGCTCCATTCTGAAATAATTATTCAGAGTCAGAGAGAGCGAAATGTTTCAGAACAAGTATGGGGGGAAATGTTTATCCTGTATCAGATTAAATGTGGATGTTAATACAGATTTTTTTTGGTATGGAATTAAATCTAAGATTTGCTATAGCCAGACACAGGGGCTGTTAAGACATAAAATATACATACGGAAGAAAGCACATGGGTTATATTGTGTATTACTTAAAGAATTTAATTTTCCAAAAACAGGTTTTCTTTAGAGCAGGGGTGTCAAACTCACGTCATCACAGAATTGCCATGTGACATATCATGACTTCCACCCCCCTAAAAAAAAAAACAGGCATTGCCGTGGCCAGCATATGACGCATCCAGACCACGGGCCATGATTTTGACACTCCTGCTTTAGAGAATATAGTTGGTACCTTTTATTTTCAGTCATGAATCAGCTTTTCATGCAAACTCTACATTCTTATCCACAGATGAGTATTCAAGGAATTACTCTAATAATTAAGAGAAGCTGCTTGCTGAAAAAGTAATAAAGTTAACAAATTATTCTTAACTCACTTTTAATCTTCTTAATAGTAGGTGGTTTTTTTTACAGGTATGAGAGATTTATTTCAAAAGCCTTATTTAAAACTGCACAAATTCCTTTAGGCTAAAAAAAATCCTAGCAATATAATTCTATATTATTCTGAGATTAACTTTTCATTTTGTTTAACATTTACAAATATTGTTAGTACTAATGCTGTATTTTAACACCTTTAAACACTTTAGCAACAGATCATTCTTAGGACTGCTTCTGATTTGCCTTTTCCAGGAGCAACCAATGCTGTAATTCCAATCACATTCAAACAGTGAAGATTGTAAGTCTCCCTAGGAATGCTATGATAAGAGAGAGATGTTTGAAATAGATTCTAATTTTGATATAAATTCTGAGTTCATTAACATATTTTAAGTAATAGCAAGTGTTGCTTGAAAAATCATGCTGACTAGTTGAATAAAATCCTAGTCACAATTTTAATTTATTAAGCTTAAGAATTTCCTGCATTGTGAAACCAGTTTAACAAATGCACAGAATACAATATGTTCTCTATCAGAGCTACGCAATGCTTCAGCAACAGTACCAAAAAAAGTGCTTCACAGTGTTTGGTGGCACAAATGTTGTCTTCAACTATTTAAAGCAGCTGCATCTTTTTCCAGGATTGTATATCTATCCCTTTCCTGAAATATATGTTTCTGCTCTAAAGAATTTCACACAAATAGTACATTTGCACTGAATGCCCAAAGTAAAATTTTGAAAATTTGAAAATTTCAAATTTTATATAACAGCTCTAGTTTTTTATACTTCTGAAATGTCTGCAGAGTCAATCAGTCCAGGACATTTAAAAAGCCTTGCTGAACAGGAATAATTCTAATGAGGAAATGTTTTAGAAAAATCATTCTTAATCTGAATTTTCTGATGTATTAGGCTATAATTCCCAGCATTCATAGCCAAGAACATTACCTACTTTAATCACACAAGTTTGAGTGCCAAATTGAGAAAAACTAGTTTAGGGTTTTCCAGTGATTTTATACCAGAATCAGGACAAATAACTGAAATCTGTGTCCTGTGTCCTGGTTCCCTTAAACACACTAAAGCATGAACAAAAAAACCAGCAGCCAACCCTGGAGATACTGTATCTCAGTCTGGTTGATCATGATCAATCTTGTAATTTTAATCTTTGGCATGAATACTAAGTGGCCAAAGAGATAATGGTTTACAGGTGCTTCAAATGGGGCATCTATAAACACAGTTTCTGATTTTTGTTTATCACAATCTTCCCCTTCTAGGAAAGTAGCTGAGCAAACAGAGCAGTGCTAACAAATTTTCTAACAGGTATGAATTTGACCAGATCTGTCCTAACCTCAAGTTGTCTGTCTTCTTTTCAAAACCATGTCATGCTAAAAACTACAACTGAATTAAAGTTTTATTATATGGAAATAGAGAGAAAAATAGTAATTATGACAGGATTATAACATATTTTAGTAATAAACTTTCCAATTAAAAATAATGTTTTGATTCACCATGACATGAATTATTTTCATTCCCACATCACTGATCACATAACACTTTTACTTTGAATAGAAAACCCCAAAAAAGATTTGTCTATATAATTTTTTTTTAAATATACATTCTATATTATGTATTTACTCATCTGACTGAACTCTGGAGTTAGAAGCATTCAATGGAAACACTACACACTTTCTCCTTTAAGCCAAAATTAGCTGTCAGTTTCCCCATGGACATTTTCCATGTGTACTTTGAGGTAGTCATTTCTTGTAAACTTTTTGTGGCATAGCTGGCATTCAGCCATGGGCCGATTGGGATTGTGAGTCAGCTTGTGCCGGATCAGCATTTTCTTGAGGCTGAATGACAAATCGCAAACCTAAAATGCAGGGGCAAAAAAAAAAAAAAAAAGCAAAAAGCAAAGTCATTAATTGCCTAATTGCCTAAAACAACTCATATAAAGGTCTCTTAGCACCGAATATTATGAATAATCTTGAATAAACCAAACAACCATCTTCTATGTCATTTGTGAAATTGATATATTTTAAATTGTTTTCTTTCCCATAATAATCTAAGGATTGCTAGCTAAACTGATACAAACTGCAACTTTTACAAATACATTTGATTTAATTAATTACATTATACAAGACAATCAAACAAATATACATAAAATAAAAATGAACAATTCACCATTCAAAAAAAAACCAAAACCACTGAAACACAACACAGAAAAAACAAAGAGTCTGTAATTACAAACATATTCTAAATTAATTTGGTTTTATAAATTTCTGGAAAAGGAAACCTGTTTTACTGAAGCCTTGCAGCTAGTAATTCACATGTTCATTTATGTTAACCAAGAATTTCATGGAAGGAACTGAAGATAGATGTCTGTTCCCATTGCTAAATAAGGAAGGAAACATTTTTCTGACATGAAAATATAGACTATAAACATAACTTGATTTTGAAGTGGCCATCAAGATGTTGCCTTTCCATCTGAAGGTTTTCAGAGGCTGGATGAGAAAAAAAAAACAAGCTGTGGTTTAACCCCAGGAAGACCATATTCCTGTGGCTTTGGGGGGATGGGTAAGGTGACCAGATTTTCAGATTGGTAAAGAGGGACACCATTGACAGGGGGTGGGGGCTTGATTAAAAATTTTATATTTTGTCAAAAGGTCACCCCAGGACACTGAAACCAGCATAAATACGAATCTGTTGCCAAACAAAATTTTGATCATGTGACCATGAGGATGCTGCAACAGTCGCTAAGTGTGAAAAATGGTCTCAACGGTCGCTAAGTGTGAAAAATGGTCATCAGTCACTAAGTGTGAAACATG